CATGGAATGTCCATTTTTTGTAATAGAAAGAATACATTTAACAATAGAACTTTAAGATAAAACATCAGAATACAGCACTTGTAATGTGCTTTCAGAAAATAAAAATTTGAGTCACGGGGGTCGTTTTATTGATACACAACACATTCCTTTACATTATAAAAAACACAACATAGAAAACCAAAGAGTGAGCAACACGAACCCTACGAAAAACCGGAGTGATCTCAGGTGCTCCGGAAGGGTAAGCAGATCCTGATCCAAACGTAACACCATCGTGTTACTCATATAAATTTTACAAATTAACATTGGAATACGATGTAAATTAAGTTGATCTTTCATCGAGTTTAAAATATTCCGAGATATATCCTGTAAAACAAAAAGGTACTTTTCCCATATATCTAACATACCTTTCCCTTAGAGTGATGTTTCGTTGACTTTTCTTCTCTCGTTTATTCTTTATGCACGTGATTTGCAGTAGCTTCTTTGATACTAATAGTTTTCTTAAAACAAATTAATTTAAGATTTTGAAACGCGAAATCTTTTTCTAAAACTGTATTATGAAAATAGGGGCCATATAGAAAAATAATTCAATTTGTAGTAATTAATTTAAAGATGGTCTTGACCAGGGTTTTGACAGATTGTTGAACATTTAAGATCTGAGCGCGTATCTATTGTTTACGGTCTAAAATACAAGACTGTCTCTAATATCTGTAATGGTTAACTTGGGTTGTTGTTCTGTTTTCTTTCCGACGGAACGTATAATTTTACTTCCATTTACAGTTCACCAGCCCAACCCCTAATTTGCCCTGTAACCCATTAGTATGACAATAGAAAGTTTAAACGAAGGGCTATCCATGGAATTTCCGAAAACTGTTTTCACTTAGTATTTTATATACGTAAGAACGGCATTACAGCATTATTTTCCCTTTAATAAATTTAATTGGACCATTTTGATGCGTGTGCCAATGTTTAACTACAAATCAAATCAATATACATGTATATTACTCAACCACATCCATGGCCTGTATTTGTGGTGTTAACTCCGATGCCTTGTATTAGGAGAAAAGCATAAAGAACTCACAAAAGGATACGTATGTGGTCTGCAAGGCTAAATGTGGACTTTGGACGTATAACTGGAACCTGTGGACAATTCCAAAGTCCACAGTTTATGTTTGACATACAGGAAGTCTTTTTGGGAATGATCTGTAAGTGGAATCAGATGTCTTACTTGTTGGGACTGTCACATACTATTTGTCTGATGATTTTTTACGGAATATTTCTTGCTGATATTTTTAACACGGTTCTAATTACTAACTTTTGATATGCTGTAACTTTTCAAATTGTTCCTGATAATGTCTTTGAACTCTCAACTAATGAAACATTAAAGACTGTCAATAAAATGCAGCGTTTCCTGTTATTCAACTTTATTCAAAAACCAAGATGTAAATGATCTTATTTGCAACGCAATAGACAACTAGGGGTGATATCAGGGGTTTAAGTCTGAATCGGTTATGTCATAATCGAGCATACAAGGACGACATTGTTGCTACAACAATTGGAAAAGAGGGACGAAAGATACCAGAGGGACAGTCAAACTCATAGATCGAAAACAACTGCCAAAAATAAAAAGACAAACAGACAAATAATAGTACAGATGACACAACATAGAAAACTAAAGACTAAGCAACACGAACCCCACCAAAAACTGGGGGTGATCTCAGGTGCTCCGGAAGGGTAAGCAGATCTTGCTCCACATGTGGAACCCGTCGTGTTGCTTATGTTACTACAAATCCGGTAAATAGTCTAATTCGGTAGGTCACATTCGTGAAAAGGGAAGGGTATTGAAGTTACGACATAAGGAACATATCCGATATCATCTGTGAAACGGTTGTATCATAACGGTCAGCCAACTCGTGATGGCGTCCGTAAAATTTACGAAGGTATGATTTCAACTTCACCATTTGGAACTCTTGGTTCAATAGCTTCCTTGTGAGCAGCAATCCTCTACCAAGGAAATCATGATAGGAAATACAAGCCCGGGAATATCGTATCAATTAGGAGATATATACTCCGTATGCAGGCGCTACTGGAATGTTGCTACATAGAAATGGAAAGTTCACAATTGGGAAGCTGAAATCATCTCTTCTGTCATAAAGTTTTGTTTTCAACCGACCCTCATTGTCAATTTCTAGATGTAAGTCAAGATATGAGGCAGACTTAACTGTATCTGTAGTACTAGTATCCTTTATCTCTAGTTCGATGGGATAGATTCGTTCAACATAGTCACCAAATTTTGTATTATTTAGTGAGAGAACATAATCTATATAGCGGAACGTAAAGTTAAAGGATATTGCTAACTTCTTATCTTTCTTCCTAAGAAGTCCTGTATGAAGTCAGCCTCATAATAATAAAGAAACAAGTCGGCAAGAAGACATATCCGTGGACACCAATTCCATAACGGTCAACCAAATCATGATGGCGTCCATAAAACTTTCGGAATGACTTTAACTTTGCCTTTAGGAATCGCTGCTTCAAAAGCTTCCTTGTAAGCAGCAACATTCTATCAAAAAAATCATGACAGGAAACAAAATCCCTGGAATGAATTATATACTCTATATGCAGGCGCTGCTGGAATTTATTATATATATACAAATGGAAAAGATCACAATTTGTCATGAAGTTTAGTTATCTATCGATCCTCAGTTCCATTTTCGAGATGTCTTTCAAGATATGAAGCAGACTAAATTGTATCTGTAATGCTATTTAAATAAAGATGGAATAGATTTCATGATTTCGAATCTTTTTATTACAATTCCATATTTTGAAGTTAATTTTTTAAGCATAAATTGATACAGGGTAGATACAGTACAAAACATGCCAATACTATTCAATGGTGATATTGTTTTTTGTTGCTTGGTAATTCAGCCTGATCTCAGCTCGAATTTGTAACTTAACCACCTTTTTCATTAGCAAGAATGTTTACTGCTGTAGAATAGGTGGAGCAAATCATCGACGAAAGTCAGGGAAAAGGGAGAAGTAAACATACATTTTATTTACCTTTTATAAATTTAAAATCAAATGCCCGTTTGAAAAATTCAAATTAAACTTGGAGTAATTCTACCAGCTTTGAAGACGGTTAAAGAGTTATGATTCATATCAAACTCTATCAAAAACGTAAACCGATATAGTTTATCAATTTAAGCATGATTTTGAAAAGATAACTATAATAGCATATTCTAAATATTGATAAACAAAAGACTTTTGTATATATATATCGATTTGTAAGACAAAAGATAAGCTGTTCAGTTCTTTAAAGGTTGAAAATGGATAATTTCATCTTGCTGAAGTCTAACTATTTCACTATTTACATAAAGTTATAAAATGATGTGTGTAAAATAAGTTTAAGATACGAAATAGTGTGTTATAATATAATGGTAAAAAATGAGTCAAACAGCTAAGGCGAATGCTTAAAATAGGAATAAATTATACTATGAGCAATAAAAATTATTAGATTAAATTATTATGTTCCTGTTATGGAATAGAAATGAATAATTTTGAATCTTTTCATTGAAATTCCATATTTTGAAGTTAAATTTGTCACGCATAAATTGAAACAAGTTTGATACAGTATATTCACAAAAAAACCTGTTTTTAGTTTCTTGGTAATTTAGCCTGATTTCAGCTCGAATTTGTATCATAATTACAATCTTTTCCGTTGGAAAGAATTTTTTTTTCTGCTGTAGAAAAGGTAGATCAAATCATCGATGATAGTCAGGGAAATGAAAAAGTAAGCATACTTTGTACATACTATTTAAAAATTAAAAATCAAGTATATGTTTGAAAAACTAGGTCAAACTTAAAGTTGTTTTACCAGCTTTGAAGTCGGTTAAAGAGATATCAAAATCTAACAAAAAAGTAAACCGATAAAGTCAAACAAGTATGACTTTGAAAAGATATGTATAATAGCATATTCTTAATAATAAATAAAAAACAAGTTTGAGCTTAAAAAAAAAAACCCAAATAATTAAGATTTATAAAAAACGTCAAATGTTACAATGAGTAAGTTCTATACGGACACAAAGAAACACGACTTGAAAAATAATGTTAACAATTCTTGACATATTTTAAAAAGGAAATTTTATTTGTCGAGTATCAAATGTTTGAAAATATACGTGACTATCACACAATGCACATCAATCAAAAGTATATATGAAAATAAAATCGGTCTACTTTTGGTTCTCTGAATTCATTCGAACACAAACAAAATATGAGAAAGTGTGATAAGGCCTCCAGATGATTACAAGATATTTGTCTGTCCGATATAAATATTTGTACATAAGGAATATTAGTTAACGTCTTTAAATATTTACTTAAAAATCCTCAAACTTCTTGTGTTTAAGGTACAACAGTAAAAACTGCCAAAAGTGTCTCACTTTAGTTTGATGAGCAACAGCGCAACAGTAGTTTACAGAGGATCAAATCTAATAAATCGATTAAGAAGACAAATCGAGGTAACAAACAACACTGAATGAAACGCATGAACTCCAAAGGAGCATGACTGGGTGCGTTGACAGGGTAAGCGTCTTCTGTTCCTGTTATGCATCACCCGCCATGCAAATTCACACTCGGTCAAACAGATATCTTGCAATAATGTGTCCTATACAAAGAACATTTCGGAAATAAAATGACTAGACTTTTAGTTCTAAATATTTATTATGAAAATAGTTTTGAAATGACTGAAGACGTTTGCTTTTTCGACATCTTCCCCCACACTCCCGATCACATCCCCTTTCTTTAGTTAAAGTAAATAAAGGCAACAGTAGCATACCGGTGTTCAAAAGTCATAAATCGATTGAGAGAAAACAAATCCGGGTTTCAAAATAAAACCGAGGGAAACACATCAACTATAAGATGAAAAAGAAAAATAGACAACAGGAACACTTTTTTATTTGTATATAACAGTTACATGTATATAATTTTCATTCATTTGTATATCATTATATTATACTATTCTAATAATAGTGCAGTGCAGGTGCATGGTGGACACTCTTCTGTAATAATTCGATTTTTCTAATAGATTTGATTTGAGTAGGCATTCATATTTTCCCGCAAAACGTTTTTGAGATATTCTTCCGCGTGCGTTAACAAAAATTTTCGGTATTCTTGATTTTTTATTGATATATACATTTCTCACGACAAAACATTTTCATATCATTTATCTATGTTCTTAAAAATTATTTTCATGAATATTTATTAATGAAATTGATATATAACAAGCGATAAGGAATGTTATTTTGCGTTCGGTTATCAGTCAAAAACGAAAGTCACGTGGGTAGAAATGTCTATGGCAACAATACACCGGAATGCTCTCACGGTTATCTGATGTAAAAATGGTGGGATGAACCTGGTTTAATGGCTAGCCAAACCTCCTGCTTTATGACAATGTTAAAAAATATCACTAAAATGACAATACTAAGTGACAGAAATACAGCACAAACACACGTAAGAACATTCAAAGTAAATCTGTTACGTTTTCAAACATTTTTTTAAAAATTATGTTTAAACAAAAACCTACTCTTCGTTCGACATTTTAACTTGAAATATACGTGCAATTAATCAATTACTACAATATCAGTATTCAATAGAAATTAGATATTAAACCTTTATCTTTTCTCTCGATGCTAAACCTTGAACTGACTATATTAAAGATACGCTGATACCTTTAATTGGTTGCTGTGTTGTCTTATGTGGCATGGGAGCAAATGTAGAAAATTTTCGAACGTGAAGAGACGTGCAATATTTATTGATGCACTGTTGGCTATCCGGAATCAACAAGCAGACCTCTCAAATATTTGATATATTCCATCTATGTATATGACTACATGTATCTGGAGCAGACAGGCAGCGATCCATACAAGCATAAGTATTTGTTTTTAACATTGTTTTTATTCGAACGTCACTGATGAGTCTTTTGTAGACGAAACGCGCGTCTGGCGCAAATATAAAATTTCAATCCTGGTATCTATGATGAGTTTATTTGCTTAGATACCAAAACTATTTAAAGTATTTTCTTGTTTTTCTAATGATGTGTAACTGTTTTCGGGCTAAATGTAAGAATATGTCATTCATTATTTCACGAGTGCTTAAAGGAACATCATAATCAAGTTGAGCTGAAGAAAAGGGGTTGTGACGAGGTCGATTACTTTTTGTATATATCACAATCACTCTTCAATGTATCAATCATATATGTTGTAAGACAGTAGTATATTTTATTCAAAAATTAACTTAGAAAACATCAGTGATTGTTTTTATATGCTTATAATGTCAAGAGTTCACAGACTATACAAATAGTATCTACTGTTACACATTGTAACACAGGTTGTTACATTTAAAAAAATAATCTTCAAATACTAAATCATTTGACAAATGAACTTTTTCGTTAAGGAGCAGTCTTCGTCTTCAAACTGATTACCTGATGAAGAAAATTTAAGGGACAAGCAGTTTTGTGCAGTATTCCCATTCGGCTCTCCAGTACGGAACAGTGACATATTGATAGCTTGCCCATCTTCCCATAGCCAGGTGCCTTCGTTCGTTTGATCCGAACCACCAACCCAATAATCATCAACTGCAAATAAAAAATTCATAAAATCATATTCATAGTTCTTGTCCGAAAACACTTCAATGGATTATTAAATGTTTAAGATTTTCAAATAAAGTGTTAATTTTGAATTTTGGTAAAATTGCAAGGTGTTCAAAATAAAAAAAAATGTTTTTGGAATTATGCCAAGAAAATTTACAGATCAGACAAATACAATAGAACTGTATTATACCTATGTCTCTTTCACACAACATCTTAAGATTTTTCACGTATTCATTGCGTTCCCACCAAAGAAGGTTATCTGTTGGTATAATTGCTAAAGCATCTCTATCGTTCCAGCTTCCGTATACACTATAATTGTACATGTAGTCGTAAAAGGCGAGGTTGCTATCGTCATAATTTTTCCAGACTCCGTCCATGTTAAAGTCATTTACACCTATCCATACGTCGTTTGTACTGTAAAAAATATTTTATAAATAATGTTAATATTTTCGTTTGAACCCTTTTTATGTTTTTAAACAAACATTTTCTTGTGAAAAGAAAAAAGAATTTAAATCAGACTAAGAATGTAGTTAAATTTTGTTCAGTATAACCAAACGGAAAATATTAAACAAATCTTGGAAATAATAAATCCACATCTGGAGCTGATGAAAAGGAAATTGTTACAGTTTGTCGTGTTGACATTAAACTCAAATCACTTCCGGGGTGTTTCAAAATACAAAGTTATTACAGTTTAGATAACAGATTCATTAATATACATTTTATACGATCCCGACAATATTGCTTACATATTTGTGATTTGCACTCTTGTGGATAGTTGTCCCATCGGCAATCATACCACATCTCCTTATTTTTTTTTATATCAAAGTTTATGTTTTTGTGTTATAAAACAAATGATATATTAGTGTTCGAATCGCTGGTTTTGTCGAAACCATAAGGTTTTTAATAAGTGAGCAATGTGGGGAAACTGGAGGAAAACATAGTTTTTATCCGCACTTACCTTCCATTAATGCCCAAAGCATTGACAACATAAATGTAAGTGTTTACATCTGGGAACGATGCAGGTTGTCCTCCACCATTAAGACAAGTTGTTTTACCAGGTACCCATAAATCAGAGGTTGACGTCAACCAGTAACATTTGTTATAGATAGGTATAAAGACACCGTTGCATAAGTAATCTAGAAACCAGAGAGGATTAGTACTGTTACTTTGAATATTTAAATTTACTTATTGTGATAATAACAATGGCTTCCTTGACAGAATAGAGACAGTTATGCTGAACGTAAACATTTCAAAAGTGAAAAAAGATACAAAAGAAGCAATACAAATCATAAGTCCAATAAAAGAGACAACATCATGGCAAAGAAAAAAACCTCGAAAAGTTAAACAAGCATAACAAAACACTTCACAGAAAAATAAACACTTATCAACACGAATCCCGCCAAGAAATGAGGATGAACTCGAGTTCTCCCGAAAGGATAAGCAGTTCAAGACCAACTAGTGGCACCCGTCATGTTATTCATTGAAAGTAAAAACACGATTATAATTCACATTCGGTAATGTCATAATCGAGGATAACAGGACGGGATAGTAGTTACGACAGGTTAAGATATATATCATTTAAAAGGTAGTGGCTTCAGATTATTAGACCCATTTCTTAAAGTGCAAGACAATACAAACACAACTAGCTGTATCGATAAGACAATACGATGAGTGTGGCATGTAGAGCTTATAGCATATCAAAACTACATGTATTCCTAGAACCTGATATTGTTCCTGATGTTCAACGGACTTTGTATCTGCTGTGGCCTTTAGCATGTAATTGACTAGTGCACTGATACCGTTAAATGAATTAGCTAATCATTGCACCTATCTTGCAGGTCAAATAGCACAGGGCGATCATATAACGACGTTGAACGACAATTATACAAAATTCATACATCAAAACGATCAAACGAAATGTTGAACTGTTGTCACGGCTTGCAGATCGAATAACACATTGGAATCATGTAGCGACGTAAGTAAATATTTATTGGGTTATTAAATATGTGTGCAATTAATACAGTCTTGAATGTGATGACAGGTTATTATTTATTATGTTGATAAAAGGAAGAAGGATTTTGATTTCTATGGGATTTTTTGATTGTTTGACAAGTTATATTATGCACTCAGCTGCAATACAGACAAACATGAGAAAATAATCTTGTTTTTGTTACAGAATTTCCTGATGACCCGACCTGTCAAAAGGCTTCCTCTGTTTGGTACGTCCTGGTTTGATAGTGTTTAAGGTCGATTTAACACAAAACTTGTTGTTCAGTAAACGTACAGACCTTTAACCAGCATTTATGTCACTATAACCGATATTTCACCCAACGGTGACTTCACTTACCATGCATGCCTACAGTTCGTTAATTCCATGTACTAGTATATGGCAACATTCATGTACCTAAGATCTTCTTTTTATAACCTGACTGTAATAAATTAATACCCATCGTGTTTAATTACAAATAAAGGCGCTTTTATTCTGAACTATGAGGGGAACAAAGAGGAGGACGATAACAAGGGGATATTTAAAACCCACAAGTCAAAGATAAACTGACAACCACATGGGAAAAAATGAAAGAAAACGGAAAGCCAAACAAGGCAATGAAAAAAAACTCAACATAGAAAACTAAAGACAGCTTGTTTTCAGTCATACGTGTGTATATAACTCTTTTTTCACTTAATTGTTAAGCCTGCATTTCTGTAGAATTCGTTATGTGTACATTTGTACCCCCTCCACAACAAAAATATGAAAAATATTAAATTTATTTTTCTAATACTGCTATGAGAGCTGGTTGAAGTCGAAATTTATCGTAAATAGAAAAAGAAATATGTATGTTGTACTTTTTTTTTATTAGGACCAATTACAGATATTAAACAACGGGACTCAAATGTAAAGGTAAAATGAAACGAGCATAGTTTGGTATTTCTATCTGCTACATGTATTTGCAGTGTAACTATCATATACAAATCATACCTGGTATTTTTTCTAAAACATCAATCTTGTCTGCTTTGTCAAGAACAATAAGACTTGTAGCTTCATCGTTACAGATCTGTTTAGCACCTGTCCATGAATTGGTTGTGTTAACAACTTTGTAACATATTGATGTCTTGTTACTAAACGTGTAATCATTGTCACAATAAACTGCAAAGACAGAAAATGTGATTATAGCGTTATCGTACTAAAATTTGAATCCAGTTTCACGCGTTTACATCGGCACGTAACGGATGACACTATTTTCAACTTGTTAATGCGGCGTCACACAGTGCCGATTTTGGCTCCCGTTTGAGATCAGACAGCGATAAGACATGAAAAGTGAAAAAGTCGGATTACTATCCTCAATGATCTGGAATGTCCTATCATTGTTTGAACGCAGTCGTTTACGTTCGGAACAGATTCCTACTTATCGGGAATGGTCCGGAGAGGTCGGCCAAGCACCCCGACAGTTAGGTGCGTCCCGTAACATTCGGGGAGACTCAGTCGATTTTGCCTAGTCGGATTACTATCGTGACTATGTCGTGACAGGTTCTTCTGTATCGGATCAAAATCGTAACAATGCTCGGTGTTTTCTGGACGGTGTCCTGTGGAAATTTGTCATTGCTGTTTTTTTGCCGATTTAGTCCAGATTGCAACCAGATCTATCTGAATGCGAACAGTCTTTGCCGAAACCGTTCCGGAACAGTCCCGTTATTAACACGAAATTCGGCAATAATACCCACGTCACAGACTTGACAGTTACAAAACATAATACGTCCAGACAAAGCCGTTCGCAATGCGGTACAGCAGACTGTAATAGGATTGCGTTCCGACAGTACCTGATCATCCTGAATATGGCGACAGCTTTCTAACGGATATCTTCCGTCAGCGTCGGTTCACTGTCTGGTCACTCTGAACTCTGTCGGATCACATTCGGTATAATCGGGATGCTGTCGGGACAGATTCTGTCGATTTTTACCATGTGAGAGATCAAAATCAGATTAATATCGGATTTAAAACCGTATAATCGGGACAAATTCGGCTGGAAACGGCTGAACTTGGACGCTTCCTGAACAATATCTGATTGTTGTCGTGATTAAATAAATATTTTTACAAATTGTAATTAAAGTTTCAATTTCCAGCCACGATTCCCAGGATCTTGATCAGACTTTTGACAAATCTAAATCGGATATGGCCCTGTCATGGACGGCAGTAAAAATCGTGAATGTGTGACCCCAGCTTAAGTCTGTTTACAAACTTTTAATGATCATTTCTCAAAATACCGTACAGTACTGTAGAAACTTTGCCAAATTTTTAAGGCTTTTATTATTAAGAATAGTAAAAGAGTGCATATGTGCGAATTATAGACTTCAAAGATAAGCCGCTATTAAAAGTAAAAACTTGCCTAAAAAGCTGTAAAGTTAATTAAAAAAAACATAACAAATTTATAAATATAGAATTATTAACTTAAATGCAACATCACAAATGCATGCGCCGGAAAGAAATCGTAAAAAAAGATGGCTTTTCGTATTTAAAGTAGAAAAAAGAAGATTAGGTTAATCGACTAGCAAGATACGTCGAGTTGAGAGATGTCGTTTTTCTCAAGATAAATTTATAGTATTTTGGGATAGGGAACAAATGTACTATATTTCAAGGCCTATTCTTAAAAATCAATATCCACAAGTACATGGATTTACTTAAGGATGACCTCTTCATTCGTATATTTGAGGGAAGAATTAGCTTTCTTCTGACTGTCTTAGTCTTGGCTTGTGTCGACTTGTTCGCATGAAATGTTCACGATTTTATTTTCCTCAGTGTTTAAAGTAAACCATACAGAATTGCACTGTTTAAGATTTTTTTTTAAACGTATGGAGTAGAATTTGAAGTTGTTCTCTAAGAAGGAAAATGACAAAGGTATTCTCCATTTAAAAGAAATACGCGAAAAATTATTCTTTGTTAATTGTCTATCCATATAGTAGTTTTGATTTACTGCACCAAAGTAAGGGAAGGAATTAAATATAAAATCGTTTGAAAGTCAGTTTTCATACCTTCTTTTCTGTAAAATTCCATTCCATTCAACGTTGTCAAGTCAGGCGTATTTGGAACAACTTCACCATAGCCACTGCACGCAATGTCACCGTAAAAGAACGATTTACACTGAATGTCATTTTGACAGTGTATTGCACAGAAATAGATGGACTGGACGTTATAATTCCACAGTGTCCCAGTCGTAACGTACTTGTTTCTGTATTGTACTAATTGTTGAAAATTCTGACTCTTTAATGCTACAGTGCCTAGAATGTAAAAATAAAAACTCATTAACGATACCAGGCTCATAATCAAATTTGATACATCAGATGCACTTTACGTCTAGATTAAACTCTTAAGTGGTGCTTAAATCAAAACAATTGGGAGTCAAAATCAAAAACGAAGGTTAAGAGCATAACATTTGAAAATGCCAAAGGTTAGGCCAAATACGGCAATCCATGCCTCAGGATAGAAAAAACATTAGTATATCGAAAAAAAATTTATTAAAAACAGTTTATTTAAATATTTAATATGAACATATCATTGATATATATTTTGAATTAATTATATTATACCTTATTTGTAGTTATATTTTTCTTTCTATTTTTCTGCTTCATTATTATGTTTAATTTTCAATTATAAAAATCTTTTTTTTTTCTTGTTTACTTATCAACTTGTTATTGTTGTCTATGTACATGTTGTTATGAATGGTTGTACTGCTCCATTTAGGGCACTGTGATTGGTTTGATTAAATATGTTTATGTCTATGTAAACACAAAAGTGCTGAATAATGATACCATAAAGGACGAAACGTCTACCAGCGACCCAGTGGTTGTAAAAACTAATCAAAGATAAGTAAGCTTATAATTTTATATGCCAGACTCACGTTTCGTCTGTAATAGAAAGATATATGTTTTATTTATATATGCTTGAAATAAGATTATATACTGTACATATTCATCAAAGTGTTATGTTTCCTCAGACACTAATCTCGAGCGTTTCAAATGAATGTCGCACTTAAATTTGTATCAATCCCTTGTATGACTGGCAATTGGACATTACCGCTGCTATTGGACTGCCAAACCTTGATGAAGTATATACAATCAGCAGAGTAACAAGTGGTAACAACTTATTGTTCATTAATCTATGAATAATGTACAGATAGATAATTTGTACACAACATATACACTATAATTGTACCAAAATTATAATAAAAAAATTACTACAAGTAATTTTGATTAGTAGCAACTGAAAGTTCTGTGCAAGTCTTTTCCTTTTTTGATGCTCTGAAATGATTTTTGTATTTTGCTTTTTATATTATTATCACAAACATGAAAAGCTAGCATCGTCCAAATAGCACTTCTTTTGCATTCATCATAATTATTATTTATATATATATATTGTCTGGTAATCGGTGTAAGTCATCACAGGAGTTTGAAATCCTAGCAATAAAAGTGTATAAATATGCTAAACTCGACTATCACAGTAGAGCTCTTCGAGAGAAGCTCTACTGTGATAGTCGAGTTTGGCATATTTATACACCTTTATTGCTAGGAATTCAAACTCCTGTGAAGTCATCAAGTATAAAATTGCCTTACAACGACTCACTGAATTGATGATGAAAATACGCTTGAAAAAATTAAGTTTTTCAGAAGTAGTCTGATTCAATAAACGGAAAGAGATTTATCTAGTCCGACAATTAAAAACGATCACAGCATGCTACTAATATAGAAATGGAAGAGAAAGGATATGGTGTATAAATGTATGACACAAAATCACTCTCCGTACGTTTAAACAAAAAAAAAATACAACAAAAAAACCGGAAAAGTTTTATCGCTGTTATTTCCGTTCTTCATTTCAAACTCATAGTGAGGCCTTCAACAAGGAGCAAATACTCTCACCTGACTGCTAGTTCAAGTTGGCCCCTAGCATAGGTTTGGCTGGAATTCTTTATTACTTGTGGATTACCCTTCAACTTTGCATTGAATAAACAGCAACAGTTACTTTCCACCAAACACATGAAAAACCCTTTGGAAATCAATTTGCAAACAAGGACCAAATAACTGTGTTATCAAAATCAACAGTGAATAAGGAAATAAACAGACAACTGAAAAAAAGATGTTTTTTTATATTTCATTTGTCTGCAAATGAATAAACTTAGATGTGAGATGTAAAAACGTCAATAAACAACAATCAAATGACAGCAAACGTCCATTGATAGGCTTCATAAAGTCTTCAAGCTACAATAATTAGTGTAGTAGAATATGAAATACAAAGTTCTGCCTTCAACACAAAAAATCTCTGAAGGGTATAACTAAAAACTTAACTTAGGACATTCCGGATTTGGATAGGAATAAATTTGCTGGATGCGTTGTTTTAGATATTTTAGGCCGAGGGAATATGATATATTTAATAATTGAAATCAGCTGTCAACTAGCTTTCAGTAACTCAGAAACTCTAAGATCGGTACTTTTGTGTCTATTGTTGTTATTTAAGGTGTTTTTGCGCTTCATGCCAATCTGACGAGGCAAGCCCTTTCCACTGAATTTTACAGTTTGCTCTTATGTTTTACTGTTACACCACTGTATCAGATTAGGGGAGGGTTGAGTGCTCACAAGCATGTTTAATTCCGCCATTATTTACACTACAAACTGCTCAGAGTCTGAAAAGACCAGTTTTTGTGTTCGACCAGTAAAGTCTAGCACATATTTTACTCGACTAGACTCGACTTTGGTCTCGACTTTACTTAATAAGTCTGATTCAGTACTTGATGATCTTGGTGTAGTCTTAAATGGTCTCGACCAAGGCTCGACCAGTCTCGACCTGTCTCGACCGGTCTTACCCTGATTCGACCTGTCTCGACCAGTCTTGACTCAGTCTCGACCAGTCTCGACCTGTCTCAACTAATCTTGACCTTCAAATTTAGTCTTGACTGGTCTGAATCAGCCCATCTAACTAAATTAAATATTGATCTTACAAAATTCCAGGTTATTTGGTAGTAGGTTCATTGCTGTGAAATTAAAGAATTAAATTGATAGGTAAAAAAAAGCAAGAGTTTTCAGTTTTGATTAAATTCAGATAGACATCTTTAATTATTTCTATATCTTTTTCAAATCAACTTGGATTTTCATAAAACTTTACAGCTATCTCAATTATACATTGATCTTACTGAATCCAAGGTCATCATGTAGTTTGGTGTATTGCTGCAAAATTTAAGGATTAAATTAATAGGTAAAAAAAAGCTAAAATTTTTAGTCGGACTGCTTTCAGATAGTTAACTTTAAATTTGTTTATTACTTTTTCAAATTAACTTGAATTTTCATAACACTATACAGCTATCTCAGTTGTATATTGATCTTAATAACTCCCAGGTTGTTATGTTGTTTGGCATATTGCTGTCAAATTTAAGGATTTAATTAATCAAGGTAAAAAGAGCTAGAATTTTCAGATTGGACTAAATTCAGATAGTTATCTTTAAATTTTTGTATAACTATTTCAAAGCAACTTGGGCTTTCATCAAAACCTACAGCTATCTCCATTATATAATTAATTATCTTAAAAAATACCAGGTTATTTGTTAATTTGGTTTCTTACTGTCAAATTTAAATATTTAAATTATAGGTAAATGTCTGAATTTAGTCAAAACTGAAAATTTCAGCCTTTTGTACGTATTACCTAAGTCCTTAAAAAAATTGAAAGCAATACACTTAAATACAAAACAACCTGGCATTCTGTAAGATAAATATATAATAAAGATAGCTGAAAAGTTTGATGAAAATCCATACTGATTTGAAAAAGTTATAAAAAAATTTAAAGGTGACTATAAGAATTCAATGCTAACTAAAAATTTTAACGGTTAAAATAAATTACTCTTTAACTGACATGGCAACAGCCACAATAAGATAAAGATATATATATATATATAAAAACAGATTTTTACATCCTTACATGATTCTCAGATTTATCAAATAGAGATTGTTAAATCAAATTATCTTATATGGTTTGGCATGTGTTTTTTTTCTTAAACCTAATTTTCCTACATTCTTACATGGGTTTCATGGTTACATACAATAGTTATATAATTATCTTTTTAATGAGGTAACAACAGCTAACAAAATCACTGAAATTGTTTAATAAAATTGAGAATGGAAATGGGGAATATGTCAAAGAGACAGAAACCTGACCAAAGAGCAGACAACACATGAAGGCCACCAATGGGTCTTCAACGCAGCAGAAGATCCCGCACCTGTAACCTTATATTAGAAATAAATCTATTATTATAATTTGGGATATAGTATATATAATATATATCAAAAGTGGATAAAAAATTAAAGAAATTAATAAAATTTTTCTTCTGATTAGTGGTGAAGTATAAAGTAATACCTCCTGCTTGGGGCAAACTCATTAAAAAGATCACAACCTGGTCAGAGAGTATTACATTCTAGATAACATTCATTCAAAATTGCAACATCCTGTTTAACTTAAATCGCAAGGCCTTTTGAATTCACTAGATAAGTAATACACGAGTTTAAGAAAAATAGGGCTTTCTTTTTACCTGTAAAACACGCATATACTGATGTAATTAAACCTTATTAAAGTGCTTCTTGTATGCCATGTCTTTAATTTTGACAAAATTATTGTAAAAGTTTATCAAGGATTCCTATGAAAGTTCTATTATCATGATTATATTAAACTCTTGTTTTAACAAAACAAAGGTGGCATTTTCAAAATTTTATAACTTTTTCAAATCAGCTTTGATTTTCATCAAACTTTTCAGCTATCTTTATTATATACTAGTATTTATCTTACAAAATGCTAGGATGTTTTGCATGTTGGTGTATTGCTGTCAAATTTAAGGACTTAGGTAAAGGGTAAAAAAGGCTGAAATATTTTGATTTGACAGCAATAAACCAAATTAACAAATAACCTGGTATTTTGTAAGATAAATATATAATGGAGATAGCTGTAGATTTTGATGAAAATCCGAGTTGCTTTGAAATTGTTATAAAAAAATTTAGAGATGACTATCTGAATTTAGTACAAACTGAAAATTCTAGCTTTTTTTTTACCTTGATTAAATAAATCCTTAAATATGACAGCAATATGCCAAACAACAGCAATACACCAAACAACATAACAACCTGGAATTCGGTAAGATCAATATACAACTAAGATAGCTGTATAATTTTATGAAAATCCAAGTTAATTTGAAAAAGTAATAAACAAATTTTAAGTTGACTATCTGAATTCAGTCTGAACTGAAAATTCTAGCTTTTTTTTTA